AGATCAATTTGAGTAAAAATAGGAGAACAAAATGTGAATAGACTTTGTACAGCGCCTCACGTGATGCTTCCGTGGCGTAGCTAGTAGAGTGCTTGACTGCAAACTGTGAGGCGAGCGGTTAGCGGTTCGAATCCCGCGTGTGGCGACCAAGATGTTTTTCTCAAAATAGTAAGGGCGATTTCAGTCGATTTTTTTTTTGGGTGTGTAAGTATGCTACACTGATCAAGCGTACCATTTTTGTTGACTTCCTACACTCAAAATAAAATTAACCCTAAAGTCAAGGAAATCGCCCTACTTTTGTCTTCAAGACAAGCTCGCCCTAAATTTTAGGGTCACATTTTTCTATATTTTTTTTTTTTTTTACGTCAAATTTCTAAATTTTAGGGTAATTTTACTAAATTTAAGGGCAAAAATTTCTAAAAAGTAGGAAATTTTCCTAAAAAATAGAAATTAAAAACAAAACAAAAAAACATGTTCAATCATGATTTTTTTTGTATATACGTTTATATTATGTACTCCTCCCTATATACATATACAGGAGTTGTGTGTCCTTGTATATTGTGAATGTTAAAGGTCATGTATTTATTATTATGTATTTGCGCTTGGATTTCTTATCTAACCAAAGCCAAATGTTGTTGTAAATGTGGACTACGGGACTGTGGAGGATTGGGAATGTAGAAATTATGATTAGTTAATATTTTATCTTCATGAAAAAAACTTACATTTTTACTTGTCCGTCGGTGAGAATCGAACCCGGGTCTCCCGCGCGAGGAGCGAACGGCCTACATACTGGGCCATTGTAGCACTTAAATTTGCTGTGGCAAACCGAGCATTGTATGTAAAGGGTCAAGCGGAGAATACATTTGAATACTAATTGCATAATTTTAACCATTCGCCTTTTACTTATTTACATACATATATACTTATGTATATATTTATGCTATCGCAATTTATATTATGTGTAGTATATAGTAAATAGCTGAATATAAACCAAATTTTTTTCGGTTTACCGCTTGCCATTAATAAAAAAAGGAATAAAAAAAGTAAAAAAATAAATAAAAAGAAAAAAAATAAAATAAATAAAAAAAAATAAAATAAAAACATAAAAAAAAAGGGTTAAAAAATTTTGCTCTGGGACTCGAACCCGCGTCGATTCGATTTCTAACCAAGCGCTTTAACCGTCTGCGCTACGAGTACAGCCGCCCGGCAGCTGACAAGTTCTGGCATTGAACATTTTGGTGTGCCAGAGCATGTGAAAACAACTATTTCTATTTTTTAGAAAAACTTTCTACTTTTTAGAAAATGTTTCTATTATTTAGGGTTAGCTTAATTTTAGGGTTAGGGCACTCATTTTTAGAAAAGGTTTTGCCAAAATATTTTATTATTTTCGTTTGCCTTTCTATTTTTCAGAAAATAATTTCTAATTTTAAGGGCATTTTTTCTAGATTTTAGGGTGATTTTAGTTCATGGTAACCATTTTCTACATTTAAGAAAAACTTCCTGGATTTAAGGAAAACTTTCTTGACTTAAGAAAAATTTCCTTAGATTTAGAAATAACTTTCTTGTATTTAGGAAAAAGAAATTTTAATGGCGATTTTCTAAAATTTAGGGTTAAATTTATTTTGAGTGTATATTTGTTGCTGCTGCCGGTAGTCTGTTCGTTAGCCAGCTCGTCAAATAAAAAAATATGTATTTAAAATAGATGCGAACTTACCCTAAGCATAGGGTCGCGAAATTTCCCCACACAGTACTTTTTTAGAAATAATTATTTTTCTTCCGAAATTAGGCGCGAAGTTAAACATCACTAACGCAGAAATGCACATTATAGCACTGTGTATTATACAAAAAAACCTGTATCTTATCCCTTTTCAATTGTGGCATACAGAAAAAATTTCGTCGAGAACTAAATGTAGCTTTTGAACTATTAAAACACATTGTATATTATAGCTTAATTATCTTGGCCTTCTGTGCAAAAAAACGCATTGGTTGTGTCTGGCCGTCTTGAAGGACTAAAACAAAAAAATTATATATTTTTACGACTTATGGATTCCGAGATATTGCAGGTGACGAAATTGCCCCTGTGACGAAATTCCCCCACTCTCCCCTAGCCTTTTTTGAGTCTACACACAAAAAAAAACTTAGTAAAATCAACTGTAATAATTGTCAAACAGGCCCCAACCAGCAAAATTGTCAATTCTACTAAGTAAATAGTCATTTCACAACAACAAAAGACACAAACCCAAAGCAAAAACAAAATACACGTAACTATTTTAATAGTTACGTAACTATCTTTGTTGGTCAATTTTACCAAGCAAATTTTTTTGTGTGTACACCCCTTTTAAAAAAGTACTAAATGAAAAAAATATTCGAAAGCATTAACTAAAAAAATCGGGACATCTTAAAAAAAGTAATTATTTCATTTGAAAAGAATGTAACATTTTGAAGATTTCGTTTTCGATACATATGTATAAATCTACACACAAAAAAATTTGCTTGGTAAAATTGACCAACAAAGACAGTTGCGTAACTATTAATATAGTAACGTGTATTTTGTTTTTGCTTTGGGTGTGTGTCTTTGCTAATTGTGTGTATTTTGTTGTTGTGGAATAACTATTTACTTAGTAGAATTGACAATTTTGCTGGTTGGGGCCTCTTTGACAATTATTACAGTTGATTGTACCAAGTTTTTTTTTTGTGTGTACATATATATACATATGTACAGCTGCGAAAAAAATAATAGCACCACTAACCCAACAAAATTTTAACTAGTCACCCTACTCACATTTTTTAACTTTTTTAACTTTTTAAAACGGGTTTTAAATAGTAAGACTAAACATAATTTAAATATGAAAAAAAATGTTAGCTTTATAAAAGGTTTCTGGACTTATTTAAGAAAATCTGTGCAAAACTAGAAAAACGTACGAAAAAAATAATAGCACCACTTCTCTAAAAATAGATAAAAAAGGTATGTGTATGTTCCAAATGGGTTATTCCACGTCAAATGTGGCACACAATTTGGGGTCATTTCTCAGAAAAATTCGAAATATATTTTTCGATAGAGGATTGAAATATAATTTTTGTATTACCTATATTCGTAAAGTAGGGGAGAAGGGGGATCAAATAGTACCACGGCCACAATAGTATACATTGGTCCCTCGCGAGATTTTTTAAAAGAATTATTTTCTGAAGCGTTTCCGACCCTATAAAGTATATAAAGGGACGAACTTTACTGTTGGCACACTTAGGGCCGTTTTCTCATCCGTTTGTTAAACTTAAAGTAGGGCTAAAACCTTAAAATTGTATATTTGAAATCAGAGTTGTAACCCCACCATTAATTTAACAGGCGGACGAGAAAACGACCCTTAGCATATATTTAACTTTAAACAAGCTTTTCTCCCTCTAATATATTGACTGTCAAATTCATTATTTTTTTTATTAATTTTCTCTGAAGTCTAGTTTTTATACCCGTTACTCGTAGAGTAAGAGATCTGAGATCTCGGAAACTAGCTCGAAGGTTGAGAAGGAAAAAGCTAGAAGGTTCCTACGCAGCGCAAGTTTATTTCAGCCAAGCGCCACGCCCCCTCTAACGCCCACATTCGCCCACTAACGATTTTAAAATGTATCTGGCGCCCACACCTTTAAAGATTTCCGAAAAGTATAAATTCAATTTTGTTGTGTATTTTTATACCTATCGAAATGTAGAAGAATATTTTTCAAATCGGACCATTCATTAAAAAGTTATTATGCGCAATAAAAAAATTGTTATACAGCCATGTCTCTCTCACTCCCTTTAGCTGAGTGACGGGTATTCGATAGTCGGGACACCAACCCGACTATAGCGTTCTCTCTTGTTTAAAATTAAAAAACCATAAAATTAGCTATTTCCCACGAACAAAATTCTTGACACGCTTATTTTGTATTAACTACTTCGCTAAAAGCTGAACGATTTGACAATTTTTTTTTGCTGAATCCGCTTTGCATCTATAGTCTAGATGCAATATGCTTAATTTGTATCCTTAAATCTTTTTAATACCCTTGTAGAGGGTATTATAATTTCAGTCAGATGTTGGCAACGCAGTGAAGGAGACCTTTCCGACCACATAAAGTATATATATTCTTGATCAGCACCAATAGCCGAGTCTATCTAGCCATGTCCGTCTGTCCGTTTCTATGCGAACTAGTCTCTCAGTTTTAAAGCCATCGCGATGAAACTTTCCCGAAAGTCTTCTTTCTATTGCAGGTAGTACATATGTCGGAGCGAGCCGGATCGGACCACTATATCTTAAGGCTCCCATAGGAATATTCAAACAAATATAAGAAAATTCATTGTAACTTTGTAGGAAGTAGGCGTTTTGATTATTGACTACTTATGTATAAACAAAATTAAAATATAAACGCTGAATCTGGAATCCCTGGAATTGCGCCGAGTGAGCATTACTTTATCTGCAAGGGTATATAAGCTTCGGCTGGCCGAAGGTAGCTTCCTTTCTTGTTTTAACTAAAACCGTTTATATTAAATAATCTAAAAAAGTGCTGACTACTATGATATTTTTCTCAAAAAAACAGTATTTTTCATTCGCGTTTGGGGGGGGGTCAAACGTCATTTTAGACCATAAGTATGTTCCCCACTATGGCTTAGAATCCTTTAAAGTTTACGTTCCCCCTATACGATTTTTGGGGTCCCAAATCGACCCACCCTATTATACATATTTACATGTCTCGGTTTAACTTCATGTCTTCTAATTATTGTTCTCAAAATTAGGGAACGGATATTGAATGCCCGTAGTTGCCACAAGATAGCCAGCAAATGCTTGAATTTAGAGTTCGGAAAATAAATAAGTCTGCGGAATTTTATATACATTAAAATACATAATGTTGGGGATGTTTCTATGAGAAAATAGTAATTTACTTTAATAACACCATTTTTGAAAGCCAATATTGACGATTTAAATAGTAATTTTTATCCATCTAATTAACTTATCAATAATATTTATTTGCAGGCATGCTTATAGCGCATCTGGCACTTAACACAGTTTACGAAAGTAATTTTCTCAGAGACTAACGATTCCTGCTGAAAATACGAAAGATCATTTTTAATCGGATGTTATTGGAAATGATAAAATGCGACCATAGCTTTTCTCCTAAATGGACTCTTAATAAATAGGAGATGCAAGTGGAAAGTAAAAACATCCCACTGATAAGTAGTTCCTTCACTCACGCGCCTACAGTAGCTTCATTAGTCTTAGGAATAGCTCCAATAAAATCAGCAAGATCAATTGCTGCCCCAGAAAATATCATACAAGTTCTGCAAACCTTGAAGGCTGCACTGACTGAACAAGCCATCGTGCAGAGAGCAGGGAACCCCGTTGGCATTGTGATGGCATCGAAGGTGGACGTGAGCTTGGCAGCGGCAGATGGGGCAGTGCCTACGTTGACGCCATCCACACCATACTTAACTAATTCAGAAAGTGGCAACAACGAACATGACAAGTATGTGTCCGGCCTGCCGAGTAATCGCAAACGCCTGAAACTGTCCTCTCTTGAACTCAACAGCAGCGGGGGCAATGATGTGGCCAGTCCACTCGACGACGCCGATTTGGATTCGAGTGCAAGAATGTCAGACAGTAAGTCGGAAGACTATGCTGAAATAGAAAAGCATCTGCCAGGCGTCGAGAGGACACTATCTGCAGACAGCTCGGATAGGAAAAGTCCAGAAAAATTGGTGCAATTCGATAACAATTGCTATGTGCCGCCAGAGCAGGCACTGGTTACCAGCGTGGAGTTAGTGGTCCCAGCCCCTCAGAACACTTCGGTTAGACACTCCGAAGAGCCAAAGCATGGCGCCCTTGGAGAATCCTCGGCGGCTTCGATATCGACCATTGATAACAAACTGCAGTACAGTACGGGTGGTCTGTATAACTCTAGTAGTTCCGCAAGCATATTAACAAACGATAAAATCGACGGTTGTGCAAATGACTCTTCCAATTTGAACTTAAGAATTCCTACTAAGCTAGCAGTAACGACAGCAACGGGTGATATTTTGCTGGATGATCGAAGGACTTCTTTATGGACACCTCACCATGACCAGTCTGGGCAAACGCAGCAGCACACAGAGTCACCGTCGAGTGAGACTAAGCAAGAGCCTGTGAGTGCTGGCTCGGAGCTGTCATACCAGCATCAGCATCAGCATCGTCACTCGGAACTTCTGCTTCAAATCGAGAAGGAGAGCTCCGGAACGAATGCATTCGCACAAGCGATTCCAATTCCATTGCAGCATCACCACAATAATGCCACCCAGGAGCAATATGGCCAAACAGAAGCGACTTCTGTCATGGAAAGCCAGTTGCACAACAACTTTTATGCACAAATGATGCAGCAGCAGCATCTACATCCAAATCAGCACCAACAGAGCATGCATGAACATAGTCCTCGACATCAGCAGCATGCAAGTTATTCCGGCTACATCCCCCACTATCAGAACACTCCGTTGTTTGGTACTCATCAAAGCGATCATCTCCCACGTCAGCACCAGCAGCAGCCCCCGCTCCAACATCCCATGGAGTGCCATGGGCATTTACATCAACCAGCACCTGTCTCCCAGCAGCACCAACATCATTTGCAGCATGAGCAACAGCAACTCCACCAGCACCAACATCAACCGACTCAACAACAACAGCCAATGCACGAAAGCTACCACGATCTTATTATGGAGGATTTCCATGAGGAGCCCAGCACGGCATTCAAATTGTAAGTTTGCGATAAAAGACGTGTGTTTTTTCATTTTACAGACCGTACTTTTCAAAACTCTTCCTTAAGAGTGAGAGCGTTGGGGTTATACATTCAGATTTTTCAGCCTCTTGAACCCCAAACACAATGTAACACAAAAAACGAGAAAGAATTAAAAGCTTAAAAAATACTAAGCATTTAATCGAGCTAGTTTTAAACTATAAGTATTTATTTAACTTCAAGGGTATATAAACTTCGGCTTGTCGAGGTTAACTTCCTTTCTGGTTTATTCCTGTGTTAGGTCCTCAGTGTGGAAATTAAAATATTTTTTTTTTCGGGAAACTAGAATTGTTACTAACACTAGTTTACAAAGAAATTTTTTTATTTATATCTCGAGTTGCGCTTAATCAATTTAGGGGATATTTTTGTTTTAAATTACAAATATAATGCCACCCTTTAGGATACATTTAGGGTATAGTCCTGGCAGATGTCGCAAATGGCAGCTGTTTCAGGTGAAGACAACAAAATGCATTAAAAAATTCTAGACTTGCCGTTTGACAGATTTGATACATCTGCCGTTTGCCACACCTGCAAGAACTGGTAAGTACCCTAAATAAAATGTGAAATTGGGGTTTTTTAGTTTTAACGCACTTAACAGACAGTCAAAGAAGGTTAACAAATTTCACATTTTCAAAGTCTACCGACCACCTGTAGCTCACAATGTGCTCAATGTATCCTATACTATCAAGAAGATACATACTTTGTAGGATCAACAAGAGAGAACGCTATAGTCGGGTGCCCCGACTATCAGATACCCGTTACTAAGCTAAAGGGAGTGCGAGGGAAATAGAGATATACAACTTTTATCGCGCATAACTTTTTAACGAATGGTCCGATTTGAAATCTTCTACATTTTGATAGGTTTTGATAAACACAACAAAACTGCATTTTTACTTTTCCGACATCTTTAAAAGCGTGGGCCCCAAAAACCTTTTAAAATAGTTTAAGGCAATTGTGGGCGTTACAGAGGACGTGGCGCTCTGCTGAAACAAACTTGCGCTGCGTAGGAAGCCAAAGAATAAGTGTGGGTAATCCCAAGTTTTCGAGATCTCAGCGTTCATCAAGAATATAAATACCTTATAGGGTCGGAAATGCTTACTTCTAGCTGTTATATGCTGAACACAATTTATAAAAATGTCTCCTTCACTGCTCTGCAAACTTGTTAACGTATAGTCATTTTGTATAACGTATTGCTTACCTAATTCCGTCGTAACTATTTTTTAATTTTGCAGAACGCTCTCTCCAAGCAACGCAAAGCCTGAGAATCAAGATGATGGATATGAAACTAGTGCCGGCGACGTTTTAACCCCAAATTCGCATAGCTCGTCCGCACACTCGGTTACTCCTCAGCATCAAATGCAACATCCTAGCATCGTGCTCATGCCGCAGAATCAAAAGAAGCCTGATGAACTTTTATTGGCGAAAAACCCACACGCAGGGGAAGCTCGCACTGACTCCACTGCATGCTCATCCAACAATAATCAGGGACAGGTACCAGCCTCCCAGACACATCTTGAGCTGAGTGGAGGCACACGATGCTCAAGCCATGCCTCTGTAGTCGATCCCTACAGTTTTATGGGTGAGGAGATGCGTATGCATTCGCCAGCCCATCGCCATATGGAGACTGTTACTACTGGAACGGCGCGCTATGCGGGGCCAGTGCCAATGTCGGGGTCGAATGGCAATCAAGAGTGCCTAAGCGGAGAAATATACCAACACAGCCATAACAGTACGAGTATCTTGGAACAAACTGATGGCTCTCAATGCGGGTTGCATTCTAAGCCAACGCCAAAGAAAAGAGGACGCAAAAAAAAACTGGTAACCGACAGTAGTGATACCACGCAGATGTCAACAGCAGCGGGTCAACCAGAGTATGTAAACAGAGTGCTGGCGAAATATATATTAAGTCTGTGCATTATAATTCAATCGTCATTATTCTAGTAAGCGGTTGCTGTTGTATTCCCAGTTTCTAGATATTCAACATCCGAACCATATGAATAAGCAACAAAATACTCAGACTTGACTCATGCATGGACGGGCCGAACCTTCCCAAACCCGAACAAATAATACAGTTTTTGTGTGAAAACAAGAGAGAACGCTATAGTCGTGTTTGTGTCCCGACTATCTAATACCCGTCACTCGGCTAAAGGGAGTGCAAGGGAGATGGATATATACCATTTTTTTGATTGCGTATAACTTTTTATTGAATGGTCCGATTTGAAAAATGTCTTCTACATTTCAATTCTTTTAAACGAATGGTCCGATTCGAAAAATTTCGATTGGTATATATAACAAAATTGCATTTATACTTCTCCGAAATCTTAAAAAATGTGAGCGCTATACATATTTTAAAATCGTTTGTAAGCGATAGTAGGCAATAGAGGGGCATGGTGCTAGGCTTAAATAAACTTGCGCTGCGAAGGAATCCCAAGAATATGTGTGGGTAATCTCAACTTTCTAGCTATTGTAGTTTCCCAGATCTCAGCGTTCATCCAAACAGGCAGACGGACACGGCTAGAGCGACTCGGCTAGTGATCCTGATCAAGAATATATATACCTAATAGGTTCCCTGTTCCATACTTTTGACGAATATAATGATGGACGTCGATGCACTACGAGCAGTACAAACAAGTGGCCCAGCGACACCAAGCACGTGCTTGTTACGCGCGGGACCCTTTTATCAATTTGGGCAAGAATGCGAGTTCGCGACATAAAACAAATAAAGACGGGACACACAATAAAAGTAAAGAAGCAATTAGTAGTGAAGCAGATGAGCTAAAATATTAGTTTAATATAAGAACTTGTAACAAAAATAGACAAGGATTGGAGGGAAACTTTTACGATAACTAATTCTATATCATTAGGGACATGAGAGTGAATTCTCTCAGAATTTAGGGTAGAGATAACGGCGATCAGAACACCCCCTCCCCTGCGGGAAAGGCGATCGGTTCTGTAGGTATTAAAGTTGTTTGACAGAACTTCAGAGTCGGGTATCCCTGGTTTCAGCCAAGTTTTTGTAAAAGCTAAAATATCGTCCGTAAATGCCGAGGAGTCAGCATAAAGCTTGGGTAGCTTCATGTTAAGTTTTTTGGCACCGTGGAAGGCCTGTTATTTGTTCTCGGTTTATTAGGAACAAATTCTTTTATTACCAAATCATCATTAAGCCAAAAGCTTTCAGATAGCAGTACTTTAAACACATCAGGCGGAGAAAAAATTTTGAAAGACGATATCCTGCGGGCGTATGAAAATCGAAATTGTTCAACCGCAATATCTTCGGATGGGAATTTTTCACGAATAAATTCCAAAACATCCTCATGTGGTATCAGGCGTAATTCTTGAAACAAATAAGAGTTTCTTACGCCCCCCAGCAGCAGTCTGAGCTGAGAGCCAGAAGCGGCAACTACAGTACCTTTGGATACAACTGAGAGATTTTTTTATTTAACTTTTCGTTGAGCTGTTTAAAAACACGTGAAAGATTAAATAGGCCGTCTCGAGACTGCCTCATAAAGCTGCTCATCTCAACTGCCAATTCCCTGCAGGACTCACATACCCACATGAGACCAATTTAGAATGCATCATCGCTTCGCAGAACCAACAGTAAACGAACGAGTCATTAGATGATGTCCTACAATTTTTCTTAGTACACCCAAGAGCCGTTATAGGAAAAATATGTTAATTCAAAAAAAAATAAAATATAAAAATATGAAAATAATGAAAAATACCTCAAGTAAATTTGACACTGGGATCAAATTCGCAAAACTGCAAAGACACAAAACTACGAAAAATATAAGAGCGCGAGATCGCGAGTTTAATTAGGAACAAGAGAGCGCGAGAGAAAAAACTTTTATCGACTGAGCGTGGCTTGTGGGGCACCAACAACTATACACACGAACAGTTACAAATGTAAAGCAAGCAAGAGAGAGAAATCAGAAGTACAGCAAGTTCAGAGAGAGTGGAAGAGAGATTACAAGAGTTTTAGCAAGAGCGTGTAATTTACACTAACAAAGACAAGTGATTTAAACAAATCCAAATGGAAATGTTAAAATAACTAAAAACAATGCACCCGTTAATTGAGAGATTTAGTTAAAAACACTAAAACAAATGTTAGGCTACGCTTTCTTCATTAACAACCACAATACACTCGCAAAAATCACTGAAAAACACACATAATTCAGAGCACAAAAGTAAACACAACCGTTCACAAGAGGCGCTACCTTTTACGGAAAAATTAAAATATTAATTCAGAAAAATTAAATTTGTATATATATTTTATTTTTTAGCATTCCTGTCGGCCCTGCAGCTTGCGAAGATGGTGCTGCTGATCTACTTCAAGCTATGAAACCCAAGGAACGCAAGAAGCATGACAGATTCAATGGGATGTCTGAGGAGGAAGTAATTAAACGGACAATTCCAGATCATCTTTGTGATAATCTTGATATCGTTATAGTGAGTTGTAAATTTCGGGTTTATTAATACAAAAAAAGTGCAATATATGCAAATGCCATTATTAATTATTGATTTTCACTTCAAACACTTTTCAGGTAGGAATAAATCCTGGGTTGTTTGCTGCATATAAAGGTCACCACTACGCAGGACCAGGCAATCACTTCTGGAAGTGCCTTTACCTGGCGGGACTTACTCAGGAGCAGATGAGTGCCGATGAGGACTACAAACTGTTAAAGCAAGGAATCGGATTTACCAACATGGTGGCGCGAGCCACCAAAGGCTCTGCTGACCTTACAAGGAAGGAAATAAAGGAGGGCAGCCGAATTTTGCTCGAAAAGCTCCAAAGATTCCGGCCAAAAGTAGCCGTCTTTAATGGCAAACTCATTTTCGAGGTATTTTCTGGAAAAAAGGAATTTCACTTTGGTCGTCAACCTGATCGCGTTGATGGGACTGACACAGTAAGTGTCTTTTTATGATGTCTTTATTTTTTTTGCTTAAATAAATAGCAAGATTATTTTGATATATTTTGTTTTATCAGATTATGCCTAGAATGTTAAACATTTTTGTATATGCTATTGTACATATTTTATTTCATGTAACTCCTTGAGTTATTTATAGGTAAACGTAGCTTCATCAGCTTTAAGAGTTCTTTTCTAACTCTGGCCAAAGAGTTAAAAAACGAAAAAACCGATTATAATTACAAATTTATCGAAGTAATTAAGGTTCACTAAAGCCGATTTCAACTATCCATTATCGCCTATCCGAATGAAATATTTAGATTCAAGGGATGCGCAATTTTAGTATCTATCCCTAAATCATAATATTCCGATTTTATAAAAAACTAGCTATACCCGGAGCGACTTCGTTCGCTCAAAAATAGTTTGCAGTTAGGAAATTAGGTTGTCAGGACTTTCTTATATCTTATTTGCGCGTTTGCTGAAAACCTTTGCGTAAACAACCTTTCTAGAAGATTCTTCAAGAGAGAGAATCCGAAGTAGTGAATTTTTATACCTTCTACCAGTTACAATGTTATCAATGCAATTTTAATTTTATTTGTATTTAAGCACATTATGTACTTTCAAGTAGAAGCATAAACACACATTGTGTGTATGTATTGCATTGTACAAATCAAAACATTTCCAAATATGCATATGTACATACGTATTTGGTCAAAAGTTCGAATCTTAAGATTAATATTTAACTTGGAAACATTTTGGCTTTGTTTACAGAATTTGTAGTCATTTTTTATCTTCTTCCGTTGTGGAAATTAAGGCTCTTACTTCTGCTACAAAATTAAAAATATTTTTTGAAAAATAAAACCTAAGCATTTGATCTACACGACTGACTTTTGATCGAAAATCATATTGATCGGAACAGCAGTTTAAGTTTTTAAAATTCAAAACAAATTTTAACTTAAATTGCCTTTTTCCCCTCCCCCTTCCACACAGCACTACCCCTCCCCCACGACAGTTTTCTTGGCTGCTGCTCTCTCGGCCGTCGCTCTCTTGGCATCCGCTCTCTGGGTTTCGCTCTCTCGGCAGGCTCCCACAAAATGCAACGCAATAACTTAGGAAATCTAAATAAATTCGTTAAAAATACTTTAAAAAAATGTTAAAAACTTAAAAAATTAAACTTAAGCAATTGGGCCATAGAATAACTATTGAGCCAAAACTCATCTTGATCGGAGCAGCGGTTTAGATTTTTTAAATCGAAAAGTTAATTTTAAATGTAGCCCCCAAATTATGGGGGATATCGAAATTTCTTTTAGATTTCTAATTAGGCCCTTTCAAGACCTAAAATTCTGCAAAATCAAAATTTCGAAATTTTAACCTCTTTAGAAGTTAAGCTTAAGTAAATCTAATGATTTTTTGCTCTAAATATGGATATTGGAGCTGTTTGGGGCCACTGGGGGATCATGTCGGACCTTAGTGGGCGCCTACGCCCCCAATGGAATACTGTGAAAAAATTTGGCTGCTCTAGCTCTTATGGTTTAGGCTGTGGTCGTATCCCCCTAAAAATCGGTCTTTCATTTTATAATCTTTAGAGATAGTTGTATTACTTTTTCAATCTAAAGATTTACTGACCATTTTTTTTTACCGCTATCTCTTTAAACCAGCGGTCGGCACACACATACGTTGACATTTTGTTTTACATTTGTGTGAGTAATTTGCACTGGGCAGCTCATCGATGTGTGTGTGCAGACCGCTGTTCTACGTTATACGTGTGCGAGCAGCGCGCCGGCAAAACAAGACCCTATGCTCACTTAATAGGGCGCTGCCGACCGCTGCTTTAAACTGAGTTATTACCTACAGGTAGAATTATTTTACAATCACTAGTCTTCACCTGTGACCAAATATGTCTGCCTAATTGTCTTAAACAGGGTTCGGAATTTGACACACATGTTAAAAACATGAAAAATGGTATTTTACAGTGTGAGCAAAATTGTTGACATGTATGTCAAATACAAAAGTGTAAAATGTGAAAAATAATTGTTAGCACACACAGCCGACTTAAATTTTTAAAACAACGTGTTATTAACACGCCGTGCTTTTTAACACGATGTGTTTTTGACCTCAAAGTGTGCGAGTCAAAAAAAACTGTAACTGTCATATAACTGTCAACATTTTATAGAATTCTATACTCTTTTAAATATAAAACAAAAGAAAGACTCTTTGATTCACCCACTAACAAGTTACATTTATTAATGAGCACATCTTTGGGAAAACAAAATTCATTATAGTTTTTACACTAATCAATGCACAAATCTAAACGTATTTGGTCGGTGCTTATTGCTTACTGATTTCTTTGGTACTTATTTTAAAACGGCCTATCTTGTCGCTGAACAAAATATTCTTTTTTTAAAGTAGTACATTTTTTATCCCTCAACATTTTTTAATTCAATAGATATTTGGAAAAATTATCCATAACCAAAAACATATAAATTTTTTATAAAATAGACACATTAGATTAGTAACGGTAGGCAGAATCAATTCATTTACGCTGTGTAAAAAACACGTCGTCTTAATAACACGTCGTGTAAATAACACAAATGACATGTGTGTGTTATTTATGTTTCTAACATATGTAGGCTATAACTTTTTAACACACATGTCAATGACTTTTTATGAACCTAACACTTTGACATTTAACATGTTAATAACACAAGTTATTTACAGTGTGTGTTATTTTCCGAACCCTGGTCTTAAATCAATATTTCTTATTCTAATTTGAAAGTGAATAGCTAGATGTAAATGAATGGTATACTTATATTACATTTGTATATTTCAGTACATTTGGGTAATGCCGTCATCATCAGCTCGATGCGCGCAGTTGCCACGCGCTGCCGACAAAGTTCCGTTTTATGCGGCCCTAAAGAAGTTTAGGGACTTTTTAAACGGTCAAATACCGCACATCGATGAGTCGGAATGCGTGTTTACGGATCAGCGGATACGCCAGTGTAGCGAGCAGCAACAGGCGGAGACCTGCGGTAAAATGAAGACTTCACTTGGCGATCATCAAGCGGGTCTGGCTTTTGTAAGCAACTGCAGTGGCTCGAGCGCAGGGGCTGCGGAATGTGGCAATGTCGCCGAGGAGGCAGACCAGGCCCAATCCGACAAATTGATGCCCCATATGACTGCCAGTGTACCATCTTCTAATAGTGCGACGGATCACGGATCGTTTTCCTATACGGGAGACGATAGACCCATGCTACCAGCACCAAACCACAACCCTCCTCCCAACGAAAACACTTATCTATCAGTGTTCGGTCCGCAGCAATCCTTGCCCCAGCAACCCCTAGAGAAGAAAAAACGGGGCCGTCCAAAGAAGATAAAAGGCCAAGAGGGCATTGACCATTCAGTGGGCGGAAAAATCGCCATGGGCGGAGCACATATGCCCCATCACGATTTTAACAACATTCTTAACCTCTCGGTTATCTCTGGCGGCAGCATCGAAACTCCGAAAAAGAAGAGGGGCAGGCCAAAAAAGCTAAAGCCCGCCATTGACAATATAATGTCAGTCAAACAGCTTCAGCACGGAAGTACTAATCCAAACTCGGCAGCAGGATTGTCAGTGAGCTCAATGCATCCCCACTCAATGGAGCATATAGCCGCGTCCCCGCAGAGTAGTCATCAAATGCCGCCCAGTTTGTACAACACGCCGCCACCGTCGCACCTTTTGTACACGGCATCGGCTTCACCAATGGCATCCCCCGCCCTCAATTGCAATTACACCCAAGTGCACGGCCATGGAACTCCACCGGTGGGGCAGGCGAATGCCGTTGCTCAGGGCACGTCGCCCAGCATCGACTCGCAGAACGAGCACCCGTCCCCCCAGAAGCAGAATCAGCATGGGAATATGGAGCCTGGACTGGATATGCGGGATCAACCTCACCTAGGGGAAACGCCTCCTCCGAGTTCGCCGAACATGTGTCCAACTGTCGACTTCGACCCTCCGGACGAGCACTCCGACTCGCAGGTGGGCCCGGGGGAGCAAAATAAAACAGCTGAGCTGGGCCAACAGCAGCCGCAATCGGTGGAAAAGGACCAATACAACAGTCCCGCACACGAGGCTGAGGGAAACGCAGCTCATCCTCATGATCACTACCAGCAATGGCTTTCGCCGCATACCCACCAAAGCCATCAGCCAGCGCAGAAACTAACTCATCAGCACCTTCATCACCCCATGCAGCACTTCCACCAAGAGCAGTCAGACAACTGGCAGCGCTACGAAGAGCAGAGTTCGAATCCCTATATGTTGATTTCCGCTCACCACCAGCATCTGAGTCCTCGGCTGGGAAACCAAGGCAACCAGAACTCCCCTCAGCCAGGGCACATCGGCTCGGACGTGGCTCGTAAGAGTTTGTGCGGCCTCGAATCGTTGGTTGATCAAATTCCAGCAATAAGGGAACACGAGTTCAGCAACATACCATCGGCGACAGCAGCGGCAGCGGCGGCTGCAGTTGAAAGTCGTCTTTTGGGACTGCAGCACCAGCATCAACAGCAGCAACAGCAGCAACAGCCACACCAACAGCAGCAACAACAGCAGCAACAACAGCAGCACCAACAACAACAACAACAACAGCAGCAACAACAGCAGCAACAACATCACCAGCAGCTACCGAAACGTTGCAATCAAGAGATTCCTGTGCAGGCGGAATCATGTAGATCCTCAAGAGAGAATAGCAATGTGAGCAACAACAATTTCTCAGTAAGCAGTCTGGCTGCTTCCGCATCGACTGCAAGATCTGACAACGAAGCTATATATGGCAACAGTGGAGAGACGCGAGGCAACAGTGAAAGCGGAAGTACCAACAACAACAACTGTGGCAACAGCATGGAATATCCTATTCACAGTCCATCCGGTTATCACCACCATGCCCCTCACCTAATTGGTAGCGCTATAGGGGCGAATATTAACAGTTCGGAACCTAGCCCACATCCGCTTTCCCATCCTCATCCACCTCCCCACTCACATCCGCATCCAATATATATGGACCAAGCGCACCACATGGCCCACATGCCTTCAGTAAATGTGAATTCAATGTACAGCGCATCTGCATATGGATCGCATCCACAACATAACAGTGGAGAGTATCCGGCAACACACAGTCACTATAGTCTGGGCAGTAATGTTCAGTCTACTGGGCCAACCAGCACAGCAACCTTACACGTGCCGAGTCCGAATTATCCCTTTGGACACCACCCATATAGTCACACACCGCCGCAAGCAAATTACCCAAGCTATACTCATCCACACACTCATCATCATTCGCACCATAGTCATCCCTCACATCATCTGAGCGTATTTGATCACCTGAAACCGTCCGACATAAGTGGGTACGGCGGTTTTTGATTAAGGGAAGAGCATGAGGATCCACAGCAACCGTTACAGAAATTAGAACGATCCGAATACAGCGACTTGGTGTGAATGTAAATCTTTTACGATTTTGCGTCCCGCCGCATCTCAGCAATATTTATCAATCTCCGGCTTTGCCGATTCTACATTAAGAAACTTTTAGATCTTATATATACAATAAGATAACCAAAGACTCCGCCTAATATAATTATTTAAGCGTTACTTTCCTAAATTACAAAATACTACATATGATAATGTTTACTTAAATTATATACGTAACTTACAAGAAAGATCGATCCCGTAACGATTGTTTGTACTTAATATGAATTAATTTAAGCATACTTGATTTTATTTACACATAAATATTGCATAACTTACTGGTAAATAATAAAGTTGCAAAACAATATTCAAAACAGCCTACAAAGCACTATACTTTACAGTTGTCAACCCGTCACATTTAGTTCCCCATTGTCTAATGGCTGTTTCGCGCCTAAATATAAAATGTATTATATTTTTTCTGAAAATCGTTTTGATTAGTGCTGATTCAAAATATATTGCTAATTTATGAATATAAAGAAATATTGAAGAATACGTAACTATATTGGCAATAATTCTCATTGAAATAGTATCAAATATAAGTAATTTCATGGAATATTTAAACATGTTTTGTAAACCATTATCATATGTCTTTGTCGCAAGAACTTATAATTTAATCATCAAATTTCATGCTTTAGTATTCCCAAATCGTCTGATTTCATCTGAAATGAAAAGAAAATGAAAAAGAAAAATATTAACAAATGCGATTAAGTTATTTATAACATTGCCTTGAAGGACGAAATTTTCATGTCTTATACTCTCTTCCAAATTGGTTTTTGTTCCACTGCTCATTTTTCTTTCGTAATAATAGTATTCGACTTCCTCTTTTAACTAAGCAATTACATATTTTGCTGTGATATAGTTTTCGATATGAGATCGAATAAAATTTCACGGATTTTATTTTTTTGTTAGTTTTGCGTAAGCAAATTAAAATGGATGGATAAATATGTTAAGATCCTCCGTAAATAATTTGCAATATAAACATTCGGGGGTGACTATGAAATCTCTGAAATCTCAACATATGTTCAAAACGCGTTTCTGTAACACATCGTATTGAAACCAATTCTCTGCCATCAAAAATTTCACGATTTGTATAAGTGTAAAATTCGTTTAGTTTTCAATATCTCGACTTTAACCCGTCGAGTAAAGTGCAACGAAATGCGTTATTGATGTTATTTTTCTGGGAAACATTTATGTTGACAGGTCGACCAAAAACACTAATAGAATCGATTTTACGTTCCTTTATCGAAGATTTCGTTAGCTGCAAACTTAGGGACTCCGAGCCACTCAGATGTGTTTGCAATAAATTTATAAACAAAAAATTTAAGTATTCAACCAATTTTAACAGCTCTTGATTTTTAAATTAAACTCTTAAATATTTCGTTCTGCCAGATAATTAGATTTACACAGCTCTTTATTTTTGAAAATAAATTCTTAAATATTTCTTCCCAGATAATGAAGTGAGGCTAAGAATATATGCCCTATCGTTGTTGTAATTAAAAAAAACGAGCATCGAGATAGAATTTAAGCATAAAAACTATTATTATTAATGTATATAAATACACACTTTATAAAGTTAATGTAAATTTACTTTTGCTCTATAAGCCTACTACATCTTTAAATATAAATGCATTCTTGTGCATATTGCGAATTTAAAATAAATTAAAAATTTTTTTAAGTTTATAGAAGAAACTTTTTTATTGTACTTTATTTAAATTTAATTTTGTGTATATTTACAATTTAAAAATTAATATTAGCAAGGCATAAACTAATAATAAAACTGTTTTGAAAGGTGCAATCAATAAAAAAAAATATATTATAAATCTAATCGACCGTCGTAAACCAATTTATGTTAAACTGCCAAATCATACTTTTTCGTTGTTCAGTTTCATTTAAGCCAATATAAAAATGCCATTTTTATCTAAGCAAGTACTTATTACGCTGTGATATAGTTTTCTTTGATATATGATCGATTTTTTATACCCTTGTAGAGGGTATTATAATTTCAGTCAGATGTTTGCAACGCAGTGAAGGAGACGTTTCCGACCACATAAAGTATATATATTCTTGATCAGCACCAAAAGCCGAGTCTATCTAGCCATGTCCGTCTGTCTGTCTGTCCGTCTGTCCGTCTGTTTGTCTTTCCGTCTGTTCGTCTGTCCGTTTCTATGCCAACTAGTCACTCAGTTTTAAAGCTATCGCGATGAAACTTTCCCGAAAGTCTTCTTTCTATTGCAGGTAGTACATATGTCGGAGCGAGCCTGATCGGACCACTATATCTTAAGGCTTCCATAGGAATATTCAAAAAAATATAAGAAAATTCATTGTAACTTTGTAGGAAGTAGGCGTTTTGATTCTTGACTACTTAAAAACAAAATTGAAATAGAAACGCGGAATCTGGAATCCCTGGAATTGCACCGAGTGAGCATTACTTTATCTGCAAGGGTATATAAGCTTCGGCTGGCCGAAGGTAGCTTCCTTTCTTGTTTTAGTTTTGTTTTTTATATGAATTATGCAAAAAAATTGTGTATTTTACATGTTTTTGTAAATTACCCGCTCACTTTTTAAATCATACAAAACATTTTTTTTCTTGTGGATAATTTTTAACTAACCTGATTACCGATTTTTACCCGATAAAATAACACTGCAATTATCAAACACACAAGCTCTAAAGAAACCTAACATTAGACTTCAAAAGCGTTATATAATGCTTATATATGCTATTAATGTGGCATAAATATTATACGTACGTATGTAAGTAATACTGAAGACTGTGACGAATTGTGTATATTTCGTGTAGACAACAATTTAATACAATAGTTATACCGCGGACAACCAAAATCAATACACAGTTTCTAATTTGTATTGCATTACTAATATATTACTATTTCGTGTAGCTTAATTTTATTTATTAATAATTGATTAACAAAGATTACATTATTTTAATATTTTTTGGTGTTCGTAGTTTGGAAATGGATGTAACAAATGGTCTAAGAAGATGTTCCTCAGACTTAGCTTTCTTTGTGTTTAAAGATAATGCCAAATCTGAGCATCTTAGTAGCATCTTAAAGGGCATGCCTGGCCAACCACAAAAAACATTAAATACTAGAGAAACGTTTTCCTTACATGATTGCTCTTGTGCTACGTGCTACGCGCTGAATTCGGCTATAATTTATACAACTATACAAAAATCGCCGAAATTGTGATTACGTAATATATGGACAGCCCCTTATACCCTTGTAGAGGGTATTATATTTTCAGTCAGATGTTTGCAACGCAGTGAAGGAGACGTTTCCGACCACATAAAGTATATATATTCTTGATCAGCATCAATAGCCGAGTCGATCTAGCCATGTCCGTCTGTCTGTCTGTCCGTCTGTCCGTTTCTATGCGAACTAGTCTCTAAGTTTTAAAGCTATCGCGATGAAACTTTCCCGAAAGACTTCTTTCCATTGCAGGTAGTACATATGTTGGAGCGAGCCGGATCGGACCACTATATCTTAAGGCTTCCATAGGAATATTCAAACAAATATAAGAAAATTCATTGTAACTTTGTAGGAAGTAGGCGTTTTGATTCTTGACTACTTAAAAACAAAATTGAAATAGAAACGCTGAATCTGGAATCCCTGGAATGGCGCCGAGTGAGCATTACTTTAAGGGTATATAAGCTTCGGCTGGCCGAAGGTAGCTTACTTTCTTGTTTTTTATATGCAGTTTATTGTTTTGGACGACTTTTTGAAAGTCAGACACTATTTAAAATCGTTTAAGGGGTTAGAGGGGGCGAGGCCCTCTAATGAAACAAACTTGCGCTGCGTATAAACCCCAAGAATCTGCATGGCTTATCCCAACTTTAATAATTTTTTAGATCTCAGCGTTCATACGGACAGACAGACGGACGACGGACATGGCTAGATCGACTCGGCTAATGATCCTGATCGACAATGTATATAACACAGGTCGACAAAATCAAGACTTTTTCTTGGCCCAAGAATAAACGCTACAAAACCTAAAAGAATTTTAGCTGTAGATTACTACCTCATTCTTGGAAACTTTCCATCACGTCGAAGTTTTTAGAAATCCGTGGTCAAAGTTCCAAATTTTCGATTTTTAGGCACTTTTTGCGGCTTAATAGTAAGAAAACCTTTCGTAGCTCAGAGCCACAATTTAGCGGAAGTGGTACCTTGAACCTTTAACTTCAAGAGTGTCCAATCACAAAGTTGGGCGACCTCTATTTCTTTAGCTACAATGGATTTTACAGAAGTACTTTTTGTCACTTTTTTTCATCTATAGTAGCCTGATATTTTTAATGTATTGTATGTGTACGGGTCTCAGTTCAACAAGGAAAATATCAGGCTACTATAGATGAAAAAAAGTGACAAAAAGTACTTCAGTAAAATCCATTGTAGCTAAAGAAGTAGAGGTCGCCCAACTTTGTGCTTGGACAATCTTGAAGTTAAAGGTTCAAAGTACCTTTTCCGCTAAATTGTGGCTCTGGGCTACGAAGGGTTTTCTTACTATTAAGGGCCGGTTTCTCGAGTGCCGGCTAACATTTCTCGAACAGATAAAGTCCCTGCTAAGTCATTTCGGCTTTCTCGAGCATAAATGTGAGAGCTAACTTTGACAGGGACTCGGAGTCCCTGTTAAGCGTTTTCGGCTCGATAGCATGACAGCTGATTTCCCAAAGCCAACTAAGAAGAAGAAACGAAATCACAGCTGACTTTTCCTTTGAATTATACCCAAACAGCTGATGAAATAATCGAAGCATGCCATTTTTTGCACTTTACAGTGCGTTAACAGCACTCTGTAATTGTTTCTCGTTCAGATAAATTAAAGTAGTCGAGAAAGCGGATTTGCTTTTACGAACAGTCTATCTGGTATTTAAGTTTTTCGAACAGATAGCTATCAGGGACTTTGACAGGGACTCGAGAAACCGGCCCTTAGTCGCAAAAAGTGCCACGGAACTCTCAAAACATTGACGTGATGGAAAGTTTCCAAGTATGTGGTAGTAATCTACAGCTAAAATCCTTTCAGGATTGGTAGCTTTTATTCTTGAGCTTTTTTTTTGTCGACCAGTGTAATTTATAGGGTTGGAAACGCTTCCTCCTACCTATGACACACTTTTGCACTTTTACTTTACGAGTGACGGGTATAACTAGAGAGAACGCTACATTCGAGTACCTAGACGACCAAATACCCGTTACTCAGCTGAATGAGTGTGAGATAGATGGGATATGCAAAAGGACAAAAATGAGAAAGTGATCAAAGAAAAACAAGTAGGACGGAACATGTTCACTCACTCAGTTAAGTGAGCAACTCTTTTTTCTTCACTCACTCATGAGCAACCCAACACAACAGCAAAGACACTGCTTGCTTTTGACAGTGGCGCCATCTATCGGAAAATTAATGATTTGATCATAAGTTTATAATAAATATGCCTAGTTGAAGGGTGTTCTATTACCAGAAAAATGAGAACTCATAAGTCAAAACAAAATATAAAATATGCACTAAAAACGACAAAATATCGTTCTTTACACTTGAAAAAATTGGACTTTATATAAAAACATGCCTTTTTTATTCAGGGAGCTAGACTTTACCAGAAAACCTAGGTCGCCTTCGAAAAACATTTTGACGATTTTATTTTGTAAACTGGTGTAATCGATGTTTTTTTCGATGTTACTCAGAAGAATTCGTTTAATTAAATTTTAAAACGTTTTGGCAACGGTTATTAAATTTAAACATTATTGGAATTTTATGCCGAAAACAAGTGGATCTGGAGTACGAAAACCGAAGAATCTAATCGACA